CTCAAATGGAGTTTCCCAAACACACACTGGTTTAGATAACACTATCTGTAGTTAATAAACTTGTTTTAAAGATAGATTTTTAAGTGATTGCAAGTAATGAGACATAAGTCAGAATTGTTTACAAAGAAATAAAAGGTAAAATGCAACTAATACCTAACTTAACAAGCTAAGGATATGTCTACACTATGAAATTAGGTCGATTTTATAGAAGTCTATCTTTAGGAAGCGATTTTATACAGTTGATTGTGTATGTCCCCACTAAGCACATTAATTCGGCGGAGTGCATCCTCACAGTATTGACTTACGGAGCAGTGCACTGTGGGTAGCTATCCCACAGTCCCCGCAGTCTCTGCTGCCCTTTGGAATTCTGGGTTAAGTTCCCAATGCCTGATGGGGCAAAAACACTGTTGCAGGTGGGGGCTGCTGTGATCCAAGTAGCCAATGCAATCATTGACCTTCTGCTAACAAGGGTAGTGACTCTGGGAAATGTGCAGGTCATAGTGGATGGCTTTGATGCAGTGGGGTTCTCTAACTGTGGTGGGGCGATAGACAGAACGCATATCCCTATCTTGGCACCAGACCACCTTGCCAACCAGTACGCAGACCACAAGGTGCTTCTCAATGGTGCTGCAAGCACTGGTGGATCACAAGGGACGTTTCACCGACATCAGTGTGGGATGGCCGGGAAAGGTGCATGACACTTGCATCTTTAGGAATTCCGGGCTGTTCGAGCAGCTGCAAGAAGGAACTTACTTCCCAGACCAGAAAATTACCATTGGGGATGTTGAAATGCCAATAGTTATCCTTGGGGACCCAGCCTATCCCTTGCTCCCATGGCTCATGAAGGCGTACACAGGCAGCCTGGACAGTAATAAGGAGCAGTTCAACTATAGGCTGAGCAAGTGCAGAATGGTGGTAGAATGTGCCTTTGGACGTGTAAAAGCTTGCTGGTGCTGTTTGCTGACTAGGTTTGCTGACCTCAGCGCAACCAGTATTCCCATTGTTATTGCTGCTTGCTGTTTGCTCCATAATATCTGTGAGAGTAAGGGGGAGATGTTTATGGTGGGGTGGGAGGTTGAGGCAAGTCGTCTGGCGGCTGATTTTGAGCAGCCAGACACCAGGGCGATTCAAAGTGCACAGCTAGGTGCACTGCGCATCAGAGAGGCTTTGAAAACCAGTTTCATGACTGGCCAGGCTATGGTGTGACAGTTGTGTGTGTTTCTCCTTGATGCAAACCTGCCCCTTTTGTTGATTTTAATTCCCTGTAAGCCAGTCACCCTCCCCCTTTCGATCACAGCTGTCAAAGGAAATAAAGTCACTATTGTTTTAAAACCATGCATTCTTTCTTTGTTAATTTAAAAAAAAAGAGATAACTGACAAGGTAGCTCAGGTGGAGTCGGGGAGGAGGAAAGGACAAAGCCACATTGCTTATTGTAGCCACACTACAAATCAAAACTGTTTGAATGACAGCCTTCTGTTGCTTGGGCCATCCTCTGGAGTGGAGTGGCTGGGTGCCTGGAGTCTTCCCTCCCCCCCCGTGTTCTTGGGCATCTGGGTGAGAAGGATATGGAACTTGGGGAGGAGACCAGTCAGTTATACAGTGCATGCAGCAGCGGTCTGTGTTCTTGTTGCCTTTCCTGCAGCTCCACCAGACGCCTGAACATGTCCGTTTGCTCCCCCATTAGGCTCCGCATCGCCTCCTGCCTCTTCTCATTGTGCTCACTTAATGCTTTCCTGGCCTTTGTCACCGAATGCCTCCATGCATTCAGCTGTGCCCTATCAGTGCGGGAGGACTGCATGAGCTCGGAAAACATGTCATCGCGAGTGCGGTTTTTTTCTCCTTCTAATCTGTGATAACCTCTGGGACGGAGATGTTAGGGGGAGCATAGAAACATTTGCACCTGCAGGAAAGGGGGAGGATAAAAAGGGAGAGTAGAATTTAAGAAGATACATTTCCGAGATTCACAGTGAATGAAGCAATTCACAGCAGATAGCATATGTGCTTTAGGTACAAGGTCGCATTTTGCCTTTTATATTGAGGGCCTGCCTGTATGGTAACACATCACACACGGCTGGGCAACAGAATTTGGTTTCCAGGCAGCCATGGTAAGCTGAAGGGTTGGCTTCTTCTGCCTTCATAACATGGGAATGGTTTCAAAGTGCAGCGCCCTCCTTTCCCATAGCAAGCAAAGCCAGTTGGGTTTGCCATTTAAAAGGAGGGGCTGCGGTTTTCGGGTGGATGTGCAGAACCCCACTCCCCCCACCCCGCTGTGTGGCTCGTCTCTGGGATGATCCCTTCACCCCTGCCCCCACCGCGTGGCTATTCTCAGGGATCATCCCTTTTAGCCAAGCTCAAATATCCCAGCATGAACGGGGTCCTTTTACTGTTCTCTTACAAAAATTCTCCTATTTCAACCAGGTAACCATGAATGATATTACTCTCCTGAGGTTAACCCAGAAAGATATAGACTGAATGTTGCTTGAATGCAACCAAAACCCAGGACCATTCGCTGCCATGCTTTGTGCTGCAATGATTCCAGACTACTTGCTACTGGCTTGGCGTGGTAAAGTGTCCTACTGTGGAGGACGAAATAAGGCAGCCCTCCCCAGAAACCTTCTGCAAAGGCTTTCAGAGTACCTCCAGGAGAGCTTCATGGAGATGTCCCTGGAGGATTCCCGCTCCATCCCCAGACACGTTAACAGACTTTTCCAGTAGTTGTACTGGCTGCGAATGCATCCCAGTTCTTCAGGGCAAATCAAACATTAAACACAATTGCTTTTAACCCCTGTAGTGTAGTTACAAATGGCACTCACCAGAGGTGCCTTCAGGGTCTGGGAACCTGCCTTGGGTGGGTATTGGCTCCAGGGTGATGAAAAGCTCCTCGCTGCCGGGGAGAACGGATTCTTCGCTTGCCTGCTGCGCATTCTCCTCCTCCTCCACAAAATCCTCCTCCCTGTTGCGTGAGACTCCCCCCTTGCAGGTGTCCATGGACAGTGATGGGGTAGTGGTAGGGTCCCCCCCCCCCCAGAATGCCATGCAACTGATCATAGAAGTGGCATGTATGGGGCTCTGACCTGGAACGACTGTTTGCCCCCTCTGTCTTTTGGTAGGCTTGCCTGAGCTCCTTAACATTCACGCCGCACTGCTGTGTGTCCCTGTTTTAACCTCTCTCCACTATGCCCTGTGCGATTGTGGCATATATATTAGCATTTCTTCTTTTTGATCAGAGTTTGGCCTGCACAGATTCTTCTCCCCATACAGCAATCAGATCCAGTGTCTCCTGTTCGGTCCATGCTGGAGCTCGTTTGCAATTCTGGGACTGCATGGTCACCTGTGCTGCTGAGCTCACCACGCTGACCAAACAGGAAATGAAATTCAAAATTTCCTGGGGCTTTTCTTGTATACCTGGCTAGTGCATCGGAGTTGAAAGTGCTGTCTAGAGCGGTCACATTCGAGCACTCTGGGATAGCTCCCAGAGGCCAATACCATTGAATTGCGTCTGCACTACCCCAAATTCGACCCAGCTAGGTCGATTTTCGCTCTACTCCCCTTGCCGGGGAGGAGTACAGCAGTCGATTTTAAGAGCCCTTTAGGTTGACGGAACGGGGTTGGGTGTGTAGACGCATTGCTTATAAAATCGAACTAACGCGGCTAAATTTGACCTAACCTCGTAGTGTAGAAAGGGTCAAGTGAACTTAAAGCAAAAAACTCTCACCATATGTTCTAGTAGTCTTAATGGCTGAATCTTTCAGCTAGGATCCCTCCCCAGTCCAATGATGCCTCCTTTTTCCTTCATGTGGTTTTGATGCTGTGAGTAGAGATGAAGGGAGAGAGAATCTGGGGAGTTTGCACCTCTCTCTTATAGCAATTCTCGTCTTTGAGAATCCTCTCCAGCTGGGGTTCAGGTGACGGTCTGTGGGATGGGAACTTCCAGCTGTTTCTTTGCCATCATATAAATTTCTCGCTCACACACTTTTTCTTGCCAAAGAATGGCTGCTTAACCAGGTGATAGTCCATCGGATTTTGTAGACACCTGGCTGAGGCATCAGTTTGCCTTTTGTCTCTGAGGATCTGGTTTGTGCCTGATTTTCTGAATTTGGAGCATGTTACAGCAATGTTATACAGTAGAATCTTATAACTTTACATACAATATTGCCATGCATATTTTACCAGGACAACAATGATCAGTACATTGTGAATTTTCAAATGATAACTTTGTACAAAATCCATTATAGTTTTGTAAAAAGGGTGAACATGAGGATACAGACTGTCACATATACATGATTCATTCCTTTCTGTGTAAGAATGATGAGCAGGGTCCTTAGTTTTTCTATCTTTTATGGGTGTTTCGTTGGCAGTTCAGTGCAGCTTTGGGCATTCATTGTTCTCTGTGGCAACATGATGAGGCTGCTGCCCCATAGCAGAAGAGTTCAACCTGTTGGCCTTAGACGGGCCGCTTCCTTACCCTCTGCTGCATGTCTTCGCTGCAGGAGTGAGAGCTCCCCAGGGCCAGAGGATGAAAGTCTTGAGAATTTATGTTGACACTAAAACTGATAAAAACTTTTTCTTTTGGCACATAACTTGCTGTGGAAATTCCTGCCACAATGCATCCCAGATGCCAAACACTTAGTAGGATGTTAGAATTATCTATTTATATGGATATTAAGAACATTCACAGATATATTGGACAGAAAAAATGTTTTTTTTCCAAGGGCTATAAACTCTCCTGCATGATACCACAAGTTAGCTGACAGGGATAAGAGAACTTCCTTATGGGCAGGGTGTTCTGTAAATGCCAACAATGGGGTTCCTTGCACCTTCCTCTGGAGCATCTGGTACTGGCTAAGTGAGAGACAGCATATTGAACTAGCTGGATCCTTGATGTGCTCTGCTCTGGCAATTCCTATTCCTACAAAGTTTTAGTGCTGTTGTAGTTTGTCTTTGTTCTACATATGTAGCTAAACATTCATTACATTTTTTCCATCCCTTTCCATTGCAGAAAAACAATGCTGAATGACCTATTGAGATTTGACGTAAAGGATTGCTCTTGGTGCAGGTATGAGACTATTTCTCATGTTTATTACTGATTTAATTCCTGCCATAGAAGTCTACTGGTCTTGACAGCTGTCCAAAATGAGTTAACTTAAGTAAAATCTTCTCTGAGAGCATGAGATTTTTTTTACTTTTTTTTGCGTGGAGTCAAGGTTATTTTAATTTCCACCTCATTCATGTATTTGTTGACGGTGGGTGAGATCCTCACCCCTGTTTCAGCCCCTTTACACCAGTTAAGCAGTTGGGAGTTGTGTAAAGAGTCTTTAAGAGCTCCAGTTACAGCAAGCACTGTGGAAGATGGTTGTAAAGCTGACTTCTTGGAATCCCCTCACAATTTCTGGTGTAGGGGGCATGCCAGGGGCTGTGCCAGTGGTGCTGCTGAGATTTGGGACAGCACTGCTGCCCATAGAGCAGCCCAGGGAGGCTGCTGTAGTTTAGACACCCTCTGAAGGCTGTCTTCATTACAGAGAGAACTCATCCAGCTCCCAGAGCAGCCCAGGATTGAGAAGGCTTAAAACCAATTTTGCCCCACTCTGGCCTGGGCTGTGAGCGGTGTGTTATCTTACCATGTAGCTGTATAATAGTGTTGCAGAATTTATTTCAACATTCATATTTAATCTTTGCATGATATATTTTAGAAAATAATTAAACTTAATAAAACACTTAATTTACCATAAAATCATGGTCAGCATGATTAGAAATATAGAATACATGAAAATGCTCATTTATTAACACTGAAATAACTACTTCAGTTAATTGCCTTCCCAAAACAAATATCTTCATACTCAACTTAAATAATTTCTTTGTGTACTTGAAACATACAAAGGAAGCAGCAGTCAACCCTATCTTTGTGTTATTCCCCCAGGGCTTTTACCACAGGGACCCCTCCAGCGCCCCGGTATCACCATTCAGCAGTAGTCTATGGGAGCAGCATGTTTGTGTTTGGTAAGCCAGTGACAAACTCAGGCTTTGTGTACTATGAATGATGAATGTTTTGAGAATTTATCAGGCTATTTTTTAAAAAGGAGTGTTAAATTTAGGAGGTGTGTAGGCATGAGTCAAAGATCTCCAGTTCAGTCCCTCCCTGTGGCTGATTTATAGCCAGGACTTCAGGTTTGAATTTCCTTTCTTTTGTCCCAGAAAAAACTGAATACCATCAGAGGTGATAAAATGCAGAAAAACTATCTTATTGCAACACCTTCAAGAGTTGCTCTGCTGGAAAGAAGACGAAGTACCACAAGAAATGATCATCACTCTCTTAAAAACAAGGGTGACAGGAGTGACTGTAACAACTATCGTGGCATTTCCTTTCTTAGCATCATGGGAAAAGCCTTTGCGTGAATCGTCCTGAACAGACTTCAGACCCTTGCAGACAGAATCTATCCTGAATCACAGTGCGGCTTCACTGCCGAAAGGTCTACTTTTGACATAATCCTCTCACTGAGACAACTACAAGAGAAATGCAGAAAACAAAGCCTCTTTACATAGCCTTTAGAGGTGGACTATTTTTGCTTCTAGAAAAGATTGGATGTCCCCCCCAAGCTCTTGAGCATGATTTGGTCCTTCCATGAAAACATGTATGGTACAGTCTAATATGACTGCTCAGTCTCAGAGGGTTTCCAGACTTGTAGCAGGGTCAAGCAAGTCTATGTACTTGCCTCAACTCTGTTTTGGAGCTTCTTTTTACAACTGAAACAAGCTTTTGGTTCCTCAACTGAGGGAATCTGCTTGCACACAAGATCTGATGGAAAGCTGTTCAATCTTCAGAGGGGTAGCTGTGTTAGTCTGTATCCATAAAAACAACGAGGAGTCTGGTGGCACCTTAAAGATTAACAGATTTATTTGGGCATAAGCTTTCATGGGTAAAAACCCACTTCTTCAGATGCCTCCATGCATCTGAAGAAGTGGGTTTTTTACCCACGAAAGCTTATGCCCAAATAAATCTTAGTCTTTAAGGTGCCACTGGACTCCTTGTTGTTTTTGTTCAATCTTGCAAGACTCAGATCTAAAACCAAGACTCGGAAGGCCTTCATCTAACACTCCTTTTCGCTGACGATGCAGCTGTGACAACCCACACAGAAGCCCATCTCCAAAACCTCATGAACAGTTTTTCCAGTGCCTGCCAAGACTTCGGGCTTACCATAAGCCTAAAAAAGACGAACATAATGTGCCAAGGAGTTGAAGAAACACCCTCCATCAAGATCAACAACTATGAACTTGAAGTGGTGAACAAGTTCACATACCTGGGGTCTACTGTCGCAGTCAATCTTTCACTTGAAACAGAACTCAATATCCGCATTGGAAAAGCTGCCACAACAATGTCTATGACTGAGCCAGAGGGTATGGCAAAACAACAAACTGACAGAAAACACAAAGATCTGTGTGTATTGTGCATGTATTATTGGAATACTTTTGTATGGGAGCGAGACATGGACCTTATACTGTCATCAGGAAAAGAGGCTCAATAGCTTACCTATGTGGATTTGTTGGATTTTTGGAATCTCCTGTAGCTGTTGCTGAGCTGAGGTGCCCAAGAGAGCCAGTATACTCAGGACCAAAGCTTCCTCAAACAGAGGCTTGGGCATGTGTGCCGAATGAATGATGGGTACATCCCAAAGGATATCCTCTATTGTGAACTGGCATCTGGAAAAAGACCAATGGGCGCCCAAAATTGCATTTCAAGGATGTGTGCAAGCGAGACCGCAAAAAAAATGGATGTGGATAACTGGGAAGATCGTACTCTGGACTGCAGCCTTTGGAAACAAGAGCTTAACAAAGGTCTCCAGAGTTATGAGAGGAAGCAGTTCAGCTTAGAAGAGAAAAAAAGAGCTTGCACAAGCCAGAGCCCAAAGTGTCAAAACACCACCTTTAAATGTGTCAGATGCAGCAGAGATTGTCTCTCTCAAGTGGGTCTCTTCAGTTACAGCTGCCATAAAATCAATTGAGTAAATTCTTTTACCTCTGGTACATATCCATGGTCTCTTGAGGCTGAAGGATGCCTATTACTTGTGTAAAATAACAAACAACTACTCAAGCCCGCTACTTAAATTGTTATCCTTTAAACAAATAGGAGCTTCTCATTCATAGCCCAGGTGTCAGACTTCCTTCCAATGCATTAAAGAGAAGGCTGGACAGCTGAATAATGAAATCACCTACTTGTCGGAGACTTCGGGTTGTCCCTTTTCTCCACCCTGCTTTATCTAGTTTAAGGTTTTACCCATGGTAGGGAATAGTTTTTAAACCTGTTCTTAAAGATGGTTTGTGTTAACTCCGATGAAATGTGTTGTGCCTAATCAGTAATCTATTAGGCCTAATTGTTAATGGTACCTTAGAATAGTTGGGCCTGATCCACACTGACCAGGCAAACAATGTTTAACTTGTGTTAGCAGAAATAGTTTTTAAACCAGGGCTTAAAAATTATCCTCTAGTACAGGTAAAGCTGTGAAAATGAACCCTTCTCAAAATTGACTATGAAGATCCTGTTGCCCTAACTATCCACCTAACATCACGAACTCCATTTTCAGTGTGATTTTAGCTGCACTTAGCAGGGCTCTGCTTGGGCTCCTTCCAATGCTAATTCACTTTTCTAATATGAAAGGAAACACCAGTTCTTTTGATTTGACGAATGATCAAAGTATTGTGAGCTTACCTCAAAAAACTTTGATTTGCATGGAATAAAGGGTTTGTAGTATTGCTGGTGATTCAGTAGGTGAGGTTTTCTCCACTGAACCTGTGCCATTAGTGTTGTGCCCAGGGGACTGTAGTGTTGGAGGTACAGGCCTTTTCTACAGTAGGGAAACTTGTGGCTGTGTCCTTCCATTATTGGAAAGTGCTCTTTTGCCCACATACAAACTTGCTAAAGGCAGCTATTTGTTTGCTATCCATTGGTTTAAGTTATCCTGATTCCCCATGGGGGATAAGTGCTAATCAGTGTTAGTTCAGCTAGTAGATTGCCAGTGTGGACATGTCTGACCACCATGGTAATGCAGTTGGTGCAAATAGTCCTCCCATCACTGTCTTGCAGAGTACCAGTCACTACAGATGTGGCCTGTGTGATCTCCTTTCTGCATTCCACTGTTCATGGGTCAAGTTGTCCAGGAGCCTCCTAGCCCTTCATGTAGCCCTGTGGAGCTCACTTGTAAGCTATTTTCAGAGACAAACTTTTTTGTTAAGCGATATCACAGTGTGCTACCATCCGTACCTTCATATTTTTATGGGGTGAGCAGTATGTGCAGAGCTAGCTAGGAAATAGTAGCCAGAAATAGTATACTAGTGGCTGTGTGAGCAATCTCCACACTAGGTATAAAACACAAGTACCTGTGCTGGCAGAAGGCAAAAGACCTGAGGCAGTGTCTAGAAATAAAGGACCATAATAAAATTCCTTGAATTATCAAAAGACTGTTCTAGAAGGAATTGGGCAGCATCACATCCAGGGCCTTCCAGTCATCATGATATAGTGGCTGACAATGCTAACTCTTCTGGAGAGAGTCTCCAAGATGAAGAGGATAGACAGAATGTTCTGTGGCCTGTGCTATACGGGAGGTCAGACTACATGATCACAATTAAGTCCCTTCTGGACTTATAATGTATGACATGCACTTGGCTGCCTGGGGGCTTGGAGATCACAGTCTGGGATTTTGACACTTCCAGACAGGGCATGTTAGGAAATGCAGCAGTTGAGATCCAAACATCCCTAAAGCTTTTAAAAAAAATTCTTGAGACCTTTTTTTGTAATGTAAAGATACAGGAGATAACCTTAATACAGCTCTATTATTCTATATGATGAACTGTTGAGTGGAGTTATGTCATTTTTAATCAGCTATTTGCTAATGTTCATAATAGCTGAGTATACGTTGTGCCAAATGTGAAACTTTGACTAATGAAATTGTTGTTATTCAGGTGGCTACACTGGAGATATATATTCCAATTCCAATTTGAAGAATAAAAATGATCTCTTTGAGTATAAGTTTGCAACTGGCCAGTGGACAGAGTGGAAGACTGAAGGAAGGTAAGGGGCTGGGTGTCATGGAAGATGAGCATCAATTAGGAAATAGTTGTAGTGGCAGCAGTAGGCAATGCTATTTCTAAGTTTGCACATCAGGTTCTGTTATAGCCTCAAAAACTTTCATCTTTTGGGCTGCAGTTTTCAAGCAGGGACTCTGTCCCAAAGTAAATGCTCTTGGAAGGTTTCGCCAAAAAATCCTTAATCTATTTTCAGTTCTATGACAGTGGGGGAAAATACATTTGTGTTTGTTTGGTTGTTTTTTTGTTTTGTATTTTAAAAAAGAATTGTTGTGTGATGTGTTCTTTCCAGGAGTCAGTGCAAATTTATTAATTGGTTCACCATTTCATCAATGGAAAGTGGATATACATCAGCCTTTGTACCCTGAGCAGTTTTGCCACACACTTCATACAAACTCACTGGTAAAGATAAACAGTCAAACAAATTTATTGACTACAAAAGATAGATTTTAAGTGATTATAAGTGATGGGCAAAAAGTTAGAGATGGTTACCAAAATAAAATTCAATTAAATATAAGCATGCAGTCTAAACTCTCAACCCTATTAGACTGAGCAACATCTAGATTAAGCAGTTTTTCTCACCCCTCTGGATATTGCATTTCATAGTATACAGATTTCACTCTTGAAACCTGGGCCAGCCTCCTCTGTTGGAGTCTTCTGTGAGTGTCTTTGTTGCTTGCAGCATAGGTGGGGGCAGGCAAAAGGTGAAGCATGGGCCTCTATGTTCTGTTTTATACCCTCAGTCCCATGTGCTTGGGGAACACAAGTCCAGGCATGTCTGGGGGGCATTGCTGAGTCTGCAGGCATGTCTGGGGGGCATTGCTGAGTCTGCAGGCAAGGTTGAGAAATTCCCTTGGTGTGCCCTCATGCAGGTGAGTCATTGAATTGTAGCTCCCTTGCTGGACAATGGATGTTGATGAGTTGTTTGACACCCTACCCGGGTGTTGGTTATTTTCCTTGCTGTTGCCTCTGGGAAGCTAATATCTGGTTGATCTCTCAATTTACAGCATGTTTTAGTGACAACCATGCAACACAATTCTCATAACTTCATATGCATTAATGATATACATATATGGATAGAGAAATGACTTTCAGCAGATCATAACCTTTCCCCCGATACTTCACATGACCTGCTTTATATGCAATATCACAATTATATACAGATGAGGAATATGGGGGTTACAGGGCCCTCCCCCAAAGTATAGAATGTCACAGTAAATGCATCATGGGAGGCTAATGCCATGTTCCCATAACCACCCGCGCAAATGTTTTGGTCCCATGAGGAATTGCAAGCCTACCCCAACATTCCACTTGGCTCCATGCATTGTGGGATAGCTACCCACAGTGCAGCGCTCCATGAGTCGATGCAGGCCCTGCTAGTGAGGATGCGCTCCGCCGACACAATGTGCATATTGGGGACATGCAGAATTGACTTGCTTAAATCGGAGGCTCAATGTCGACTTAAATAAAATCAGCCTAATTTTGTAGTGTAGATATATCCTTAGCATCATATTTGCTTTTTTCGAGCATATGTCTTAGTGGAAACTCCACAGTGATGCCTGCATAAGTTGTTATAGTTAATTCAGAACTTGTAAGGTGTATGAATAGTTCAATTTTATCCTTCCAGTGTGCATTATTTTGCATTTATAGACCCTGAACTTCATTTTCCATCATGTTGCCCATTCACCTAGCTCAGTTAAGTCCCTCTGAATTCCTCTGTCTTCTCAGGACTTGAATAACCTAAATAACTTGAATTTGAGTCAGCAAATTTCACTACCTCACCATTCTTTAATTAACACATTTGACAACATTGGGCCTGGTACAGAACCTTGAGGCCATGGTGAAGACTGATCATTTATTATTGGGCACTTGAAAACTAGGCCTCAGTATCTGTACCTCACTCATCTGTAAAATTTGCCTTATAATCAAAGCCTTGTGTATTCTGCAGCTATGGAATTTGCTGTGGATTTTATCCTTGCTGCAGAGTTGTGCTCCAGAATCTCAACTGTTCTAAAAAATTACGTTTCTAGGCCTATTGGTTGTGCAGATAACATTGAACACTTGATCAGAATGTAAGCAATGAAATGACGACCACCTTAGTCTGCCTGAAACAATAGTCGTTATTTTCATAGATAATAAAGCCAGAAGTGACCACTGTGATCATCTAGTTTGACCTCCCATATACCATAGGCCATAGAATTTCCTTGAATTAATTCCTGGTTGAATTAGAGTAGATCTTTTTGAGAAAAACATCCAATCTTAAGTTAAAAATTGACAGTGTTGAAGAATCCACAGCCCTTTGTAAGCTGTTTCCATGGCTAATATACTCTGACTGTTAAAAATTTGACCTTATTTCCAGTCTGAATTTGTCATTTCAACTTCTAGTAATTGGAGCTTATGCTTTTTTCTGCTAGTTGGAGAGCCCTCTACTATCAAATTTCTGTTCCTCTCTGCATAGGTACTTATAAACTGGAATCACGTCTCCCCTTGATCTTCTCTTTCATAGAATCATAGAATCATAGAATATCAGAGTTGGAAGGGACCTCAAGAGGTCATCTAGTCCAACCCCCTGCTCAAAGCAGGACCAATTCCCAGCTAAATCATCCCAGCCAGGGCTTTGTCAAGCCGGGCCTTAAAAACCT